GTTTTGGACGTGATTGAAACCATTTGAGAAGATCTTTCCAGAAGGAATCTGGAATTTTGGGATGGTCCTTCACAAGATGCATGAATGCCGCATAACTTTCACTTGGGAATGGATGGAATTCCGTTTGTTCGGGAGAGCTAAGCAATTGGAGATGATTGTGTAAAAGAATGCTAAACTTTCCAGCATCTAATGCTGAGTGATATAGAGTTGGAATTTGTGTTTTTGAGGTTCGCAATTGGGGGGGGGCTGGGCTAGCGGTTTGAGGGTCTGGAGAACTGAGATCTGCAGCAACAGAATCGACTTCATCTAATAAAGCAGTTAGATAGAACTATGCAGAGATAACTGTCTGTGTTACCATTGAGGTCATTGAAGGGACTTTGAACTTCGCGATCACTGGCAACCAGAATATGGTTGTTTTCTACATCTCTCCTTGACTGATTGCTCCCTGAATCACTGAATAAAATTGATGTGGTAGACTCAGTCAGGGGCGGGCTCAGAAAGACAGTATTTGTTGCAGAAGTGTGTGGACCGGCCATTGGCCCAATGGGCCAGGTTGTACAGCATTTCCCCTAGAAAAGACCTTCTTTCTAGCAGTTTCTTCCATTTCTTCCATTTCTTCCACTTCTGCAGCCCTCTTTTTAGCAGCTCTGACTTTCTTTTGGTGCTTTTCACTGTTTTTATGCTGGCGATAGGCATTGCTGTTATTTAGAAAATCTCTCGCACAATACGTGCAGATCATCGATTTCTGGATTGGAAGGGAGGGTTGTGGGCTGGGTGATCGATCTGAACTTGACATTTGTTTTTTCTTTTCCTCCAAACAGCAACCAGAAGCTGAACACACCTGCCAACCAAACTCTCAAGTGCAACATGGATGAGAACAATACCAATGAGGACCTTGAGCTCACAGCCGATCAAATAGTTCAGCATTTTGCTGAGGAAATTGAAAGTGAGCAACTCTAATTTGTCTCTCGCACAACTTCAACTAATGCTGAGATTAGGTCAACAGCAAGAAGAAGAAGATTTAACTCAGGATGAAAATGCAGGACTTTCTGCGGCTCACTACCGAATGATCATGAAGGCCTTGAATCTCACACAAAAGTTGTGCCTCCAAACACTCTCTGGGCAAGCGTACTTACTTAGCGCCATAGAAACAAAAAATCAGGAGAATACAAGAAACCCATTATCTTGGGATGCTCTTGGGGTAAGGACTGTCTTGCAATCCTATCTCGGCAACTTGTAACATGAAAACAACAGACCTCCCTGCACTTGTTTGTTGAAAAAGAGGCTCGCAAAAACCTTTTCATGAATGGTGCTGAGGCAGAAAGTGTATTAGAATTATGGATCTCCAACAAGCCAGACACGGAAAAGGCCGTTCTGCGGCTTGACGAAGAGGGGAAAATAGATGAGTTTTTCAAGCTGTGTGTCCCTAAGGTCTTAAATCTTGATCCTATAATTTGTATATTGTTAATTTTATGGTTTTTAGACTTTAAACCTTGTTCGGAACAAGAGGAATGCCCTGGCTGACAAGACACGATCAAAAATCCGCCATACCCAGAAAATCCATCCCTCAGTGAAGTTGAATTTGAGGGGCTCCAATGATGCAACAAGATTCAAAGCCGAGTTTCTTCAACACAGCTCTGTTATTGCTGCAAAAGCAGCATTAATTACCAATCGAGCTACGGTCGGCAGACCCTTTCTTCAACTAGGTTGAAAGCTGCCACCACGGAACTAACCTGTTGTCTGGAAAGTTGAATAAGCATGAGACGCAATTTGTTTTTGCAACCACAACTCAGTTTTTGGATGGGGAAGGTATTGGTGCCGAGGAAGATTTCAAAACAATTATGTCTGATTACATGGCAAATCCATGTGTTGATGCAGGCCAAACAGGTGCTGGAATTGGAAATGGTTTGGCAGGGGGGAGGGGCAGGGGACTTGGAGCCGGAAGGGGAATCAGATTGATTGGTGGTAGAGGCCGCACTGGAAGAGTTGGTTGAAGGAATTCGGTATTTTGCAGCGAGAATGACAACTAAATGAAGAATAAAAATTAGTATATGAATAATGAATTTTTCAAAACAGTGATTTTTTGTTTGGTTTTATTGTATAACTGTTGTGACACTAGAATTAACTTTTCACATTGCCATTAGCTGTTTCACTGACGTCAGATATGATGTCCAACTAACATTGGATTTTTCGACGACATTCAGGCAGCCAATAGATACAGCTTCTCAATGATTGGATCCGATGTCAGGTGGACGTCAAACCCCACATCGAACAGATAGAAAAACACTGAAATCACTTTCTTGTCCTTCAATCACATTCTTTATACGTTTTATTTGATATCAAAACCCATGTCCAGTGGTTGGATGTCCAATTTGTATAGGATCGTTGACAAATTTTTTTGCGATGTGGAGGACCGTATGTGAAGAAGGACTTCTTCTGTCACAAGCAGTTCCATGCAATTCTTCTTCTTGCTGCATGTGATTCCGACTACATGTTTCGATTTGTGGATGTTGGGTGGCCTGGGTCGACTTCAGATTCAACAGCATTTGAAAACAGCGAACTTGGGCGAAATCTGGACGTTCTTCTCCCTGACCATGTTATCATGCTTGGAGACAAGATCTTTACAAATTCCGATCGAGTTATTACACCATTCAAAAGAAACAGAAGAGCTCAAGCAAACCTCCGCACCAATCGATACAACAAGCGTCACTGCAAGACAAGGGTAGTAATTGAAAATGCCTTTGGCCGTCTCCAAACAAGATTTCGAATTCTTCGGGAAACTGTCAATGTTTAAATTAGATTTGCACCAGACATTGTGATGCTTTTTTGCATCCTGCACAACATCTGTCAGTCTTTGAATGATCCTTTGGATGAGGAAGCTGTTCAGGATTTTATTGAGCGTGAACAAACAAATAATCAGGAAAATCGAGAGGCTTACTTGATGGGTCTTTATGAGGATGGTGGGATGGACGAGGACTTGGAGAGAATGCTGCACCCAATCTTTGACATGGATGTTGATCGCTTGAATTTGCAATACACAGCAAGAACAGGAAATATTATTGCTCCAAACATGAAGATGCGGGAGGCTTTTGCTGAATATTTGTTTGAATGAGACTGCTTTTATTCAGAACAACAACATGCAATAAAAAAAAGAAAAACGCAATATAACCGCAAAGCTCGTGTGTACTCATTTGTTTGATGACCCTTGTTTCATGGCTTCCAATATGGCCAAAAACTTTGCACTCTCAATCGCAACTGCAGTTGAAGATTCGTTGCGTCTCTTGTCCATTTCAAGTCCTTGTTGGCGGAGCGCCTCCACTTGAACAGCTGCAGATTGCTTCATCACAGCCAAACTCTCACCACTGAGTTCATTTGCAGCCCCCATCAACCCCAAGTATTGCACTTGAAACTCGCTCATTCCACCAGCTCTCGCCTTTGCTTCCTTCTTTGTTTTGGGGGGTTTTGGTGACTCAAGAACACTGTCCTGTTGCTTCTCCATCATAACCTTCAGTTTCGCTCCAGCCGCATCCTTGATTTTCTGCTTCTTACTACCTGAGGCACCACTCCCTGGATTACCTCTTTTTTGAGCTTTATCAGAATGTCCCATTTCATTTTGATTGCTGACTACATTGTTGCTGTTTGTTTCGGTTGTACTTTCATCACCAGTCTCGCTGATGTCTCCCTCATCCACAGCCGTTTCCACATCCTGGTCGAACCCGTTCATCAGCATGTCCCAGTTGTTAGAAGCATCTCCTGCTTTTTCAGCATCATACTGTGCTGCAAACTGAGTCATTGGGGTGTCAGACTTTGGCTCCTCCTGCTCAATTACTGGGCAGTCAATCCTGCCTGATGTAAGCAAGGTTCGAGAAGAATATGGTCCGTTGACGGCTGATGAGTGTCCCAAGATGCGAACAATATCATTATAGTATGGAGGTGGGTCCACAGTAGCTGAGCCTGTACCTGTGTCACCCTTGATGGTTTTTGCATGTGCTGTTACAGGTCCCGATAAAGCCTTCCATTTGGACTTGCAGGATTCCCCTGTTAGCGTGTGGGGGACGAGCAAATGGTCCTGGTCATTGTCAAGTGCATTCAACGTGTCATAAATCTTGTATTTAAAAAGAACAATACTATCAGTTTTGTTAACATGTTTTCAAAGAACTCACTCTTTTGTTCCATTCACCTGTGACCACAACAGCTTGAGAGAACACTTTTGGCCAACTCGCTTTGACATTCTCAATCAAAGCTGCACTTTCGTCATTGGTCCATTTATGGGACTCCTTGCGTTCTTTCTTTGGCATAGCCACGGTAGGCGGCTTCACAGCCTTTTGCTTCTTAGGGCCCAATTTTAGATAGTTTTTTAATAATTACTTTTACTATACAAGACATCAATTTAGGGCAATTATTATCTGCCGATAGGCGAGAAAAAAAGTAATTCCGTCAAACAAATCCTGCAACACATTAAATCCACCTGTCCTGGATTTTTTGAGGGTTCGTTATTTTCTCCAAATAAATCCTGGAATATCTGCCGACCTTTATTGAGATATCAACAGCAAAATCACTTATGAATGCAATAACAACAACCCAATCAGGGGGCTCTTTAGTAATGTCGAATGGCAGAACGATCACTTCCGCAAATGTCTCAATTTGCCGGAACTTTCCACTGTATTCTTTCAAGGTTTCTTCTCCACCACGAGTTTGAGATCCGCCTCTGGCCAGATTCTGCTGAATTTGTTGCTGAATTGTGTTTGTTGTTCCCATGGCAGTTCAATCGACTTCGGACCTTGCTGCAAAATGTTGAGGAAAACGACGGGACGTTAAACTCATTGCCACCAAAATGGACGGGTAGATTTCTGCAATGCTCTGTTGCCAGTCACGGCATTTGAGAAAGTTTAAAACTGAACGGTTGACAAATGAAGCAAATTTGAAATTTCTATCAAGCTGCCTATCAGTCAAGGTACCAACTGTCCGCCGCAAAACCCGAACACTTGGATTAAACGCCAGGGCCCAACCGGGAATTGAACCCGGGACCACTTCTACCCTAAAGAAGTATCATACTACTAGACCATTGGGCCGTTGAGTTGGTTATAATGCTGGTTGGATAAAGTCTGCCAGTTGACACCACTTGCTAGTTTCAAATCACTGGCTGGAATGCAAGGATGATTTGACAATGAAGTGTGTAAAAAAAAGAGCAGCTGCACATTTTTTACCAGAACGATGAATACCTCGTTACTTAGGCAATATATTATCAGATTCCTTTGCAATACTGTCATTGGCTTTGAACAACAGTGTGACTGATACGGCATTTGGTGTCAAGCCACATTCCTCAATCATCCCATAAACGTCTTTCGCCTCCTCCAACAGACCAGAATTTAAGTACGACATCATCATGGTATTAAACACCCGAGTGTCCGCAATATTCTTCTGTATGGCATCATCCAACCAAAACCGAGCCGCTTTGAAATCTCGAACTGATCCCAGCGCCCGAATCAAAATATCATAGGTTTTGGAATCGGGTGTCACCAATTCTTTCTTGGAATTATTTGCAGATTTTCCCCGTTGATCTTCTTGAGTTGGAGTTGTTATTTCCAAGAACCTTCGCAAAACACCAGCCATGTTACCATTCCTCCTCATTCTCTCCAAAATAATATTATGCGGCACAGTTTCAGAGTATGGCACGCGCCCGCGTGCTTTCCCCGAAAACTTCGCTCCCCCCAAGGAACCCACAGCCCGACTACTTTCAATCACTCCCACCACCGCGCTCCAATTTCCCATTTGTGAGTAATATTCAATCATGGGCGCGAAAGTGGCGGTATCTGGTATAATCCCCTTCCCAATCATAGTTTGATAAATTTCTTGCGCTGACGTAGGATCCCCCTCCTTCAAATGCATGTTAATCAAGATATTGTAGGTGACAAGAGTTGGCTCCTTCTTGGAACTCAAAAGGGCTTGATACCACCTCCAAGCACCTTTGTAGTCCTTCTGCTGAACGTGGCAAGACATTAGAATACTGAAGGTGGTGATGAGAGGTTTCATCTTGAGCTTGGCCATTTCATCAAGAACTACACAAGCGGCTTCGAGGTCGCCTTTCATGCCATATCCATGAATTAGCGTGTTATACATGACGTGATTGGCTCGAATAGAGAATAGCCGAGGGATTTCGTGAGAAACTAAAAAGTGGGCTTCCTTCATTTGGCCAGAACGGCAGAGAGTGTTGATTAAACTTCCGTAGGTGAGGATAGTCGGAGTGAGCGTTTTGGACTCGAGGATTTGCGAAAATATCCGCTTCGCATTATCAGTATCACCAATTTGGAGATATGCATTCATGAGGATGGTGCTGATGTAAATGTCGACTTCAATTCCGGCTTGCGTCATCTCTTGAAGAAAGAATCTGGCGTGATGTAGGTTTCGCATGCCCACAGCTACCGTTTCAATGACGACAGTGTAGATCCTTCTGTCTGGCTTGATCTTTTCTTGTTTCATGGTTTCAAAAAGCTCGAGAACTCGATCAAAATCCCCTCTACGGTAGTGAGACCGCATAAAGACATCAAAAATAGCGACATTCGGTGAAACTCCCATTTTCACAATCTCTTGAAAAAGTTCCTGCGATCTCATAATTCCTTTCAATTCGAGCTCCTCTATTCGAATTTCCTCGGTGAAATTACTGGAGGCTCCCGTATCATTGGAGTTACCAGCTTGATCGTGATTATTGGAACGATTGCCAGAAGTGAAAGCTGAAGGATCGCCAAATGACGTTGGGGCATTGATGGTGGTATCTACAGGTTCAACAGTCAAACTGCCCATATTGCCTGAAAGAGTAGAATATGGTAGGGCAAAGATGTTCCTCCCAATGTCTTCACTCGTCGGCCTTCGCGGTCGCCACAACTCAAGGTATCCCACAATCAACTTTTCGTAGGTGTGAATGTTCGGTTTGACGCCATATTTTGGAAATATCTTCGTAAGAATGCCTTCCGCAGCTTCCATATCTCCGCTCGAGATAAACATTTGAATCAAGTTGTTGAGAGTATCTGGTGTTTGAGGTATGTTGCGTAGATCCATGGTCTTGATACATTCATCGGCACCTTTGAAGTTGAGAGCATAAGTACAAGATCGCAGTAGCTTGGGTAAGAGAGATGGGCGGATGGTGGCCAGATTGATGTTCTCTGTTCTCTGTTTTCGCTCAGCGACGATCGGGTCCTGGGCCAGCAGCGCTTCCAGTGAAACGCCCGAGCTCGGCGCGTCCATCTTCAGCAGCGCATCCAGACTCGTCGCCTCTTGGCGCAGCCGCGCGGCGTCCGTCTTTTGCTGAGTTCCGGCGCAGTCAGCAAACGCAAAACGAAAAACGGCGCAAAACCTTCAGCGGAACAAGTTTACGGTGCGGCGTCAGCGGCGTCTTTGGCTTCGCGGACGGCGCCGCGCCGCAGCCGGCGAGCCGCTGCCGCCGAAGCGCTCGTGCAAACATGGCGAAATAATAAATTAAAGCGAAGAAATCAAGAAATAAAAGAAAGAAGAAGAAATGGTACACTGCACAGCCCCTCTTCATCCTTTTACTTCGGTTGCCTTTCTAACCCCGCAAATTTCTGCTCGTCGGCTTGCAGGGTCGCCTCATTCAACTGGAAGTTCTAAACTTCAAGTCTTACAAAGGACACCAGGTCATTGGCCCTTTCGATAACTTCACCAGTGTTATCGGTCCGAATGGAGCGGGTAATTTGATGTGTTTTCGGCTTGCTCTGTGGTTTTGTTGCAGTTCAGTTGTGATGTCTGGACACGACTTCGAATTGCAACAACGGTCAGCAGCAGTATAAGCTCCTTTCTGTTCACTGGATTATGCAAGTAAACCGAAGATTAAGGAGGGAATAGTCGCCGAGAGCTTCATGTCCAATCCCACTCATACAGCTTCATACTTCTGAATGCACACTAATGGCTTATCCACCTTAGGAAAGTCAAATCTCATGGATGCTATATCATTTGTACTCGGAATCCAATCTGCTCACTTGCGGTCATCAAAACTCAAAGATCTGATATACACAAATGAACGCGAGAGTCAAGACCAAGATGATGACGAAGAAGATATGAGCACAAATCGTGCAACGACAGCATCTGTAACTGCTGTTTACGAGAAGGAGAAAGATAAAGTACTCAGATTTAGTAGAATGTGAGTCAGTCGCAAGTAACAAACCCCAACAATGATTTAATGCAACCAATACAGAATAACATCCAATGGTTCCAGTGAATACAGAATCAACAACAAAGTAGTGAACTGGGCGAAATATAATTCCACTTTGGAGGATGAAAACATTCTCATTAAAGCCAGGAATTTCCTCGTATTTCAGGTGCGGAACATGTGTATTGTTGACTCCAACGTTAATAATCAATATTCGATTGAAGGGGGACGTTGAGGCTGTAGCCGCACAATCTCCAAAAGACTTGACGCGATTGATTGAACAAATCAGCGGATCCTTGGAGTTGAAACCTGAATATGAACGCCTTAAATCAGTGGTCGAGAAAACAACAGAAGCAAGTTTATCAAACTTCAACAAAAAGAGAGGTATGAACGCAGAAATGAAACAAGCCAAGGAACAGAAGGAGGAGGCGGAGCGCTTTCAGAGATTGTTGGTTCAACGGGTATGGGTTTTTTGTACAGTTCTCTGAGATGTTTCACTTATCCCCTACCTCTCAAGACCAAAGAAGTTGTTTGCCACTTGGTTTGGAGGCTCTTTCATATGGAAGCAGCAACTAAGCATATTCGCGCTTCGATACAAGCTGATAAAGAAGCTGGCAGTGCAATGGAAACTCAGCTGGAGAATGCTGAAAACTTACTTAAAGAAGCGAAGAAAAGCATGGCCATAGCGACGAAGGAGAATTTGAAGGGCGAAAAGAGGATCAAGGAAGTTACTGAAGATATTGCCGAAAAGGTTTGTCAGGAGTTTGAAATACCAGTATCCAACACAGCACATGTCCACAGAAACCAGAGCAGTTAAAGTTGGACGAAAAGGTCAAGCATGGAGCCAAGAAGATTGCCCAAGCAAAGGACAATTTGACCAAAGCCGAACGAGACCTGGAGAAACAGGTAAATTAGTGTTTCTCCATTATTTGACTTTGACTTATTAAATGTTATTTGTCAAGCAATCGAGCATCGCCGAACTGGAAAAAAGCTTGAGCAACGTGACAAAAGCAGCCGAAAAGTTTGAAGGTATTAACGACCTTTAAACTCGAAATTGCTCACTTTGAACATGACAGCATCGGCCCAAAAGACAGCCTCAAAATCAGTCAAGCGAGCATTTGACGCAAATGCCCGTACCGAGTATAATGACATGTAAGGCTCTGAATCTTTTTTCCAGATTCCTGAGACTCATTGTATTCAAGCCGCGAAAACGTTACATCTCGTACACTGGCCGACCGCCAAACCCTCACTGCTATGCAACGGGCTCTTAAGACTGAAGCCGAAGACTTTAAGCGCAAAGAAGAAGCATTGGAGGAAGCTAAGGGTAAAGAGGCCCGTCTTGTCGAAGAGGAAGCTGCTCTAGCAGAGAGAAAAATTGTGGTAATGCATCTGGATTGAATGCTTTATTGCCAAACATCGCTCACAAGTATCATTATAGGTTGCAGACAATGTGGCTCAAATCAAAGTAGATCTCGGGAAATTCAAAAAAGACTTGGAATTGATGGACGCCGACCGTCGACGTTTCAGGTCAATTTTGTTTGGTGTGGTTTTCTTTGACTTAAATTTATTGTAAAATAGACAACAAGAAACGGAAAAGAATGAGAAGCTGGCTGAAATTCAAGACAAATTAATGCAGGCCAGAGCTGATCGTAGTGAAAGCGACCGCGATGCTAAGAATAGAGAAAACTTGGAGGCGTTAAAAAGAATATTTCCAGGTACACTTATCATCTTGATGATAGTGGGAAGTCTAACACTTAAAAATATCGCAATTCAGGTGTCCACGGACGTCTCATTGACCTTTGTAAACCAACTCAAAGAAAGTATGACACGGCTGTTGCAACAATCTTGGGAAGAAATATTGATGCCATTGTTGTGGATACTGAGCGCACTGGTGTTGATTGCATTCAAGTA